CCAATCCTCACCTGTGACAAATCCCTAAAAGGTGACCCTCACACCCCACTCACCTGTGACAAATCCCTCAAAGGTGACCCTCACACCCCCTCACCTCAAAGGGTGACCCTCCCCCCACACTCACCTGTGACAAATCCCTCAAAGGTGACCCTCACACCCTCCAAGGCCTGGATGTTCTTGAGCGTCTGCACAAAGTTGGGCGGCACAGGCACCTCAAAGGTGAGGTCAATGGGCTGGAAGGTGGGTGGGATCTCCGTGGTGACGGTGGAGGCGTAACGGTCGTAGAGTTTGGCCCGCTTGGGTCGGACCTCGGTGGTGATGGTCTCAGAGTGGCTCTCTGTGCCGGAGCTCACGTAGCGCTCCTCCTGGGTGAAGGTGTGGCTCACGCGCTTCTCTGTGCGCGTCACTGTCTGCGTGCTGTGGGAGACAGGATGGAGGGTCGGTCGTGTGAGAAAAATTTAAGTTAGAGTTAGATTTTACGGCGTTCGCAACTTCGACTATCAGGACACCTCGGAAATAAAAGTTTCCAAGAAAGTGACAAATATACAAAAGAAGTAGATGGTTCTTTGATTTAGTAGAGGTTTTACGGTGCTCGCAACTTCGACTCGACTATAAAGGCACCCCGGAAATAATGGTTCACAAGAGAGTGACAAACATACAAAAGAAGTAGATGGTTGTTTGATTTAGTAGAGGTTTTACGGCGCTCGCAACTGAGTAAGGTCATATGAGCGCCAAAGGGTGGATGTCAACAGAGAAGTCCTTACAGGGAATCAGACTTACTCTGTTCACCTCTCTAGCTTCACCAGCACAACGTCTGCTGCAACTATCAAGGCACCCCGGAAATAGCGGGTCACAAGAGTGTGACAAACATACAAAAGAAGTAGATGGAAAATGAAGATAGTAAGGATGAGAAAAGAGAAAGCAACAGTTGCCCCATGTTGCCCCAGCACAGTATGAGCATGACATTGAGAAATCAGCACATTTACAATTCTACTGAGCATAAGAATATTTTTATAAACCCCTTTTGGGAATGGCCTAAAGATACTTCAGTCAGTAGCACTGAGTAACACGAGATTTGCTTGTAGAATTAAATGCTTAAAAAATAAAAACAAACAAACCAACAAAAACAACAGTATAAAACAAACAGAAACAACAGTATAAAAGAACAGTATAAAACAAAACGTATACAAAAGTATACACTCACAATTCAGACTCGGACCAGGACGGGTAGCCGCCATCTGGCAGCTCCACAGTGAAGGCCTGTGTCTGTGTAGTCCTCCTCTGTACCGCCGGCCCGGGGGCGGGGACTAGAGGGAGGGGCGGGGCCACTGTCAAGAGGGCGGAGCATGTAGCCTTGCCACTGGGGTTCTCGGCTGTCACAGAGAACCGACCCGCGTCCTCGTCAAACACCTCAGGGATGGTCAGTCGGTGCGTGTCTCCCTCCATGGTCATCTGGTAGTCCTGGGACACCAGTGGCTCGCCGTTAAACTGCCAAGATACCTGCGGAAGGACAAAAGAGGTATTTTTGTAACTCTCTCAGAGCTGAGACGTTCCCAGTTACATGTGTACATGGACAGGCAAGACACCTGTGGAAGGACAACAGAGTTTGTGTGACCCTTTCAGTGCTCAGACGTTTCTAGATACATATTATGTACATGGACAGACAAGACAGAATATTAATCAACAAGGACAGACAAGACAGAATATTAAGTCAAGCAAGGTATAAACAAAGCTATAATAAAACATCCTATTCTATAAAACAAACTATACAGATTGCAAATACTTTACTTTTCACTTTTTACTTTTTTCTCCCCCCTCCCCCTCCCACCCAGAGCGCCTAGATTTCTC